GGAACTCACTCTGTAGATCAGGCTAGCCTCAAACTCAGAGATTCACCTACCTCTGCCTCCCAAGTGCTGGAATTAAAGGCTTGTGCCACTACCACCTGGCTGTTTGTTTTTAAGATAGGGTTTCTCTGTGTAGCCTTGGCTATCCTGAAATTCGCTCTGTAGACCTCAAATTGAGATTCACTGGCCTCTGACTCCTGAATGCTGGACTAAAGGCATGCATCAGCACTGCCTAGCTTTGTTGCTACTTCATAACTGTAATTTTGCTACTGTTAAGAATTGTAACGTGGGCTGGAGAGACGGCTAAATGGTTCAGAGCACTCACTGCTCTTCCAGGGGACTTGAATTCAATCCCTGTTTCTTGAACAGTCTTGTCTGCCCCCTTCCCACTTGGGGACCTGAGGCTGTCATGGGAGCCTTCAGAGCTTGCTCTCTTACTCGCTCAGCTGGTCAAGGCTGGACTCCAGGTGATCTCTGGGAAATGGTTGGGTCACAGAGGCCAGGTGAGGGATGGGCCTTCTCAGGAACAGAGCGGGAGCCCAAGAACAACAGGAACTGGGCAGGGAGGTGGCACAATTGCTTGTTTTGTCAGGAGGGCTGGGTCCCCGACCACTGTAGCTGCCCCCCCATCTCCCAGACTCAGCTGAGAGCCCCCTCCCTGTCACCTAGCCCGCGTGGGAATGTCTCAGGCCAGGAGCTACCACTGAACTTACTCCTTTCTCCCAGGGCCCAGTGACTTCTTGACAGGTTACAGCCCCAAAGATAAACAGATTCTGCCAAGCAAATAGCTGTTCAGGAGCAGGGGTGTTGGGGATGATGACCCAGGTGACAGGGTGGGGTCCCTCCCCTGCAGAGAGCAAATAGCTGTAGGCACCTGGGAGGAAGCAGCGTCCTCACTTGTCACGGGTGAGGACACTTGTGGGGGTCCCAGGACAATATATGAGGTGCTTCCTGGGAAGTCTTGCATCAGCTCTTGGCACAGGGGACCAGCTCTTTGTGAGGCCCTATCTCACCCCAAGTCTGTGTTTAAGGGTTCCCTGGGCAGCCGGGGGCGGGGGGGACAGCCAGGCAGTCCTCTCCCCCAGCCAGGCTCATGAGCATCACTTGAACACACAACTTTGGCAGGCAAGGGGAAGGCCCACTCATGGTCTGCATCTCCAAGTTGTCTCTTCAGTGAAAATGCCATAGACACCTGGGGGGTCTCAGTCCAGGGACCTGGGATCCCAACCTGCCCCATCCAGAGCTGTGAGACACAGGAAGCCCTTTTCCCTCTGAGTGTGCTCTCGACAACCAACCCAAGTAGCGAACTTTCTTGAGATAGGGTCTCATGGGGTTAAGAATAATCTAGAACTTTTGATCCTCCTGCCTCTACTCCCCATGTACTAGGATTATTCTAAGCCAGATTCCAGTTCTGAACTCTGAAGTTAAGACTTGGCAGCATTAAACCATCTGCTTTACACTGGCCACAGAATCCTTTCTGATTGCCTAGGTGCTCTTGAAAGTCTTTGAGTCCCAAGGTCATGAAGCTGGCTCCTTGCTCATTTGCCAACTGCCTGCAGGGTGTTCCTAGCTCTCAGGTTTCCAGACCAGCCTGGAAACCTGTGCAGTAGTGAGCAGTGAGGAACACCTAGGAAAGATACCTAACCACCATGGGAACCAAGTATGATGCATGCATCTTCTAAATCCAGGAAGCCAGAAGCCCAGGTGCAATTGGGAAGTGCTCTGGTCCCTGGCTTTTCTTTTTTTCCAAGCAGATGGGAGGCCAAGGTGCTGTCTCTAGCACTGCCCTTCGGCTGTGCTCGGCTGGCTGACCAACCCATGTGGTACTCTGATGGCACACAGAGAATTTGGAATCTACTGTTTTGATAACTGGGTAGCAGAAGACACAAGTGTAACCCAAGGCTGACTTCTTGTTAATTACTCTTACCTAGTGATTGTCCCTGGGCTGTGGCACTATTTTTGGGAGGTTGTGGAACCCTTAGGAACTGGGGCCAAGCTAGCTGAAACATCTCCATTAGGCACGCGCCTTTGAAAGGAACAGGTCTGTCCATCTGTTTCTGGGTCAGCCAGCGCGTGAGCAGTCTCCACCGGCCATCCGACCGCCCACCAGAGACTAAACATCCATGATCAGGACTCAAGCCCTCCGAAGCCATCACAGAAAACCTTCCCTTGTTGGGCACTGTTGTGCTATCCTGTAGTAACTAACATGGATCTCAGGGCTCAATTCCCTCTGCAAGTGTACACTAGAGCTACTGTGGGCGGCACAGGCCAACAGGAGCTGAGGGCGCAATAAAACTCACATACACACACAAGAAAGGTGGTTTTTTTTGTGTTAATTTAATCATACAAATATTCATTTACATGGTAAGGAAAACCTCATCTTCATCTCCTACTAGGCACCACAAGGCCCCACCAGACACCCACCACTGTCCAGGTGGGAGGGGCAGCAGGCTGCTCCCACATTCACCCAAAGAAACAAGGGATAACAGGGAAAGGGCGGGGACAGCACATTAGTCTGCATTTGTGAGCCCTGGCAACCCTCTCATACTTTCCTGCTGGGAGCTCAGGCTAAATTTGGGGGTCTTTACACTCATGTCTACTTCCCACCTTGGCCACCAGCTGTGTTGGTGAAAAGTGCCTGGGTTATGGTTACAGCCAGTCTGTACAGAGGGAGAGGAAGCTGTTTTAGTAGAAAAATGCCCCAAATTCAATTGTCCCCATGGCAAAAAGAAAACAGGCATGCACACGTGCACACACACCTACACATACACACCTCACTCCACACAGAGATTCTTCCCAAGCCCGCGCTCCACCCCTCATTTCCCCACTCGGCTCAGGCCCTTTACCACCTGAAACCTGGTGTCTGCCTCACCTCATGGGTGCCAGACCAGGGATCCTGCCGAAAGGTGGCCTAGTGCACGTGAAGACTCTAAGGGGCTGCAGAAAGAGTGAAACCCGGGAAGCCATGGGTCAAGGATTGCGCCTGCTCTGGCCTTCTGAATGAGCTACCTCTCATGGATACACAGACAGGACTTGGTTGTGAGAAGGAAGCCAGGGTACCTGAGCCATTACATTTTCCAGGTGAGGTTGCTACAAGCAGGAAGGGGCACAAGATGGGAAGGACACTCAGTGACAGTGGCCCACAATGTCTTGCTGGAAAACTGAGAAAGGAAGGTACCTAGTAGGGGATAGATGGGGAAGCCAGTGAGGCAGGGTTGAAGCCTCTCATGATTTCAAGAGGGCAGCTGGAGATGCGCCGCTCCAAGGCCAGGAAGCAGGAGGAATGGCTGGGCATGCGTGTGCTTTAGGGTGGCAGTGTCCTTAGGAGACTGGGCCTAAGAAGGCCCTCAGACAAAAGCCCCCTGAGATTTGTGACTTGGGCACCTGTTAGGGGCTGCCTTTGGCTCAAGGGTCCAAGTGTGCAGAGGAAATAGGGTCCCCAAGAAGCCCCAATTTAATGGAGACCCAGCTGCACTGACCTTCTCCATGGCCTTCTCCACCCGCCCAGGGACTTCCAACGAAACAAAGCTTTTTTTTTTTTTTTTTGGGGGCGCGGAAGGATGGGGGGGGGGTTCGTACAAGCTTTTTTCTTTCACAATCAAGTGTTTAAAAATCAATAGTCTCAGAAGAGAATGAAGAACAACAAACACCACACACTTGGAACTCAAACATCCAGACAGAGGCAGGCAGGCAGGCCTGCACCCACACCCAGGCTAAAGAACCTTTTACAGCCACTCACACCCTGGTCTCCCTGCTCTGCTCACAACCCTGGAGCACATGAGGGCTGGAGGCAGGCAGGGGACCCTGCAGCCATACCAAATCCACATCCCCGGCTCTCGTCACTAACTTAGGGAAGGAGGGGTTAAGAAGAGGGACTTTGCATATTCTTGTATCTTTGGCAGTCAGCTGTTCTAGCCTGGTTTAAGATTCCCATGGAGACATCCACATTTCAACCTACTTGGAGTTCATGGGACACTAGTGGGCACCGCACCTGCCCAGAGAGCAAATGCCTGTACTCCGGCTGGGCTGCAACTCGCCACCCCAAACTAAGCAACCTCTGCCGGAGGAGGTCTTTTTATTTCCACCTGACTGAGGCCTCTCAGGCAGTGGTCAGCAGTGGGGCTCCCAGCTGGGGCAGTATCGTCATTCTGTAGTAGCTCGGACTCCACTAATAAGTCATGAGAATGTCACAAGGACATGTGGGGGACACAGGGAGGGAGCTGTGTGATAAGAGAAGCAGGGCACAGTTCACACTTGCTGATGAGTTACAACCCTGTGTGCATGAAGCACAAGCACACACCCAGAGAGAGTCGAGAAAAGAAGGGCCACACTCCCTCTGCCAAGAGAAACACAGAGGAAGCAGTCCCAGCTGTCGCAAGTGTGCAAAAGGACACCTGTCAGACTGTCTTCCAGGCTTCTGCTGGCCACACAGGAAGTCTGGACTTCAGAGAGTGCTGCTGCTAAGAAGCCCCAAGGCTGACAGATACAAATGTCCAAGGAGTAAATCAACAGGAGACTGAAAAGAGAGGGAAGGTGCATCTCATTGGCAGATGCCACTAAGAACAATCGAGGTCAGACTGTGCAGTCAGGTGAGGGCGGGCACAGCATGAGCCCAGCAACCCTGACTGGCAGAGTCCCCAGACATGCCACACCAGCCTCACCACACTGTGAACGGCTTCCAGAGCAAGCACTGCTCTGTAGAGCACGCCGTCCCCTACTTAAAAGAAACACCGGGAAGAGGGGAAGACTAACATGTGCTCAGAACTACAACCTCTCTGTAGGCAAAATAATTTTTGTTTAAAAAGATGGCTTATTTTCCCCCATTTTAAATTTTTTCCCCTTCCCGAATGACCAAACAACTCATTAGACTGACGTCATCACCCAAACCCAAGGTGGCTGCGAGGATTTCTTCTTGGTTGCCAACACCATTCCTGCAGTTCAGCACTCACACATGCATACTGAGCTCACTCAAAACTAGTCTTTCTTCCTCTTCTTCCGTGATTGGGGGGTGGGTGGGGGTCTGAGCCAGGGGTCCGTGCGATGTGCTTGCTCTGCAATCCAGAGGAACCCCTCACTCTCTCCCCCCAAAGTCAGGCCTTCTGTCTTTTGTTAACATTTCTTCTTGCTGAGACCCGTTTAAGACTGGCCGAAGGGGTAAGGCCCGTGGAGCCCCTGGAAGAAAGTGAAGACAGTCAGTGATGAAGACACCAGTACCGCCTGGTCAGCACAATCAGCGCCACTCACAGAGGTGTGAGGGTCACTGCCCTGGCCACACAGCACTTCAGCAGACCTAGGATCAGGATCAGGATGAGCCCAGATGCGAAGTTTCCCACTGAATCCCAGCAGCCTCAGAGAGGAGAGGTGGGAGAGACCTGCTCCTCTGTGATGGGAAGTTCAGCTGATGCCCACTTTCTTCCAGCCAGGCTGCAAAACTTCCACATGGCCTTACAACAGGTTCTCAACCCTCGCCACTGCAGGATGATGCAGTAGATGGCGATGCTGCCAAGCCCGAGGACCTGAGTTCAATCCCGGAACTTCCCATGGTCCCACAAGCTGTCCTCTGACTCTGACACGCGCGCTGTGACATACACAAAATGAATACAATAAAAACAAGTCCAGCAACTGCTGTTTCCCAGCACCTGCCCCATGCTGACCGCCCTTACGGCTGCTATCTTCCCACAGCAGCTGCTAGGAGGTGGAGCTCAGGACCCATCTGAGCACCAGTGAGCTGTCCCTCCTACCACATTTCAAATGTACAAGATGCTTACTTTCCCTGTCCTTTCTTTTGCTTAAGACAGGGTCTACTATGTAGCCTAGTATGGACCGGAATTGTTCTTCAGATTCATTTATTATGGGTATGTATCTCCATGAACTTATGCATACCACATGCAAGCAGGAGCCGTTGGAGGCCAGAAGCAGGCGCTGGGTCCCTTGGAACTCAAGTTCCAGGTGAGTGCTTGCTTGCAAGCAAAGTGTTCTCCTTGCTGAGCCACCTGGCCAGCCCTTGGACTGGAATCCTTGGCCCACCCCCAAGGCACTTGTTCTGTGTTCTTTGGATAAGGTAAAGACTTCCATCTCACCATCCCTATGTTAAGAACAAAACTCTACTGGGCAGTGGTGGCACACAGCATTAATCCCAGCACTCAGGAGGCAGAGTCCAGCTAATCACTGAGCTCAAGACCAGTCCGGTTTACAGAAAGAGTTCCAGGACAGCCAGTGCTACAGAGAAACCTTGTCTTGAAGAAAAATCAACCCTCCCCGCAAAAGAAAGAGGAGGAAGAGCAAACTCCACAGTAAGTTAGCACCAGAACCACCACAGGACTGAGCTGAAGCATGACTGACATGTCTCCCCTTTCCTTGGGTGGACTCGCTCAAAGCAAAGCCCTGAAAGGGCAATGGTAACTAGTGGACAGCTACACCAGGGTTCTGTACTCCACTATGGAGAACACTCGAGACCAGGCCATCGCATGAGTGGTCAGAAGGAGCTAACCTGTGCTTAGTGTTCATCCAAAGAACCCCAAACCTATCAGAGGGAGCTAACAGGTGCTTGGTATCCACCCAAAGAACCTTAATCTAAGTATGACCCACAGCGGGAAGAAATGGGACACCCCCACCAGTCGGATGGAATGCGGACAAAGAGCTTTCAAAGGTCAGAGTGCTTTAAACAATTAGGGCCATTCTTTAACAAAATTGTGGCTACAGCGGAGCCAGGATGACAACTTTATGTCCCAGGGTGGTGCCTGGCCCTCAGGTGTGGTGAACTGGTAACTGAACAAGGACAGGTACTGCTCAGGACACCCGGAATCTCAGATCCCTGTAAGTCAGGCCCTTCTAAAGCTGGTTCTGTTGATCTGTGTGAGGGGACACAAGTGCTGGGCCATCCATCAATCTGTCGGCGTTGTGGAGGCTCCAGGAGGGGGGACTAGTGGAAGACGTACAACCCTCCAGTTACCAATGGTGCTAGATGTGAAGTCCTAGGAGAGAGGGTTGGGTCTGTTCCCCCCACCCCACCTGACTCTTCCATTTTCCAGGTTCTGAGAGCTGATACACAGTATCTGGCTAAGAAGCTGAAAACCAGTATCCCAAGAAAAATACCATCTGAGGTCAGAGTTACTAAGAATGGAAACATGAAGTAACGATTTTTCTCCCATTGGAAAGTACTGAATAACAGAAGTATGGTATGTCTCTACCTGCTTGACAATATCACTCGTGTGTGTGTGTGTGTGTGTGTGCGTGTGCGCGCGCGCGCGCGCGCGTGCATGCATAACCAACAGAGAAGATAGATGGGGAGGAAGGGAAGGCAGACACAGAAGGGGCATCAACTATTCACCAGGTGCTGCAGTAGCACCCGACAGACACGATTCTCCAGTACGTGAAGAGGAGTTAACCTGATCAAGGGCACAGCCCTGGAGAGCCAACAAGTTGTTTGGTGTTTAGAAAGACAGGATGCCACATGCCTGCGGGCCCTTGTACCAGTCACGTCTCCAGTAGGCAAATGAAGGCTGCAACTACTTTGGCAGCCACAGCTGCAGCCCGTGGTGGCTCTGCCAAGCACGAGCTCTCAGACTCCATCTCATGGGCTTCGGTGAGAGGCTCCCCTGCACCAGCAAGAACACAGAATTGAAGGCAAGCTGCCTTGACTCAGCACTTCCCAGCAGCAGCTACTCGCCCAGAACGACCCACGACCCATGGAGGCAGCTAGACTGGAACCAACACAAACACTCACAGGGAAAGGAAGAGCAAGCAGTGCTTGTTTTCGATGAAGAACCTCCCCAGCCTTCTCCACAGTGCATGCAGCCTTCCCAGGCCCATGGCTTGTCTAGGAATATGTAATAAGGGAGTATGACTTTCAGACAGCCCCCCCATTTATGCACTGGGCAGGGATAAAGATGTGCGTTCTCAGAACTCCACCTGCTGTGGGACCCTCAAGACCACCCAGCGTGACTCTAACTGGTTTAATTTATGGTTACTCTTGGCTCTCTAACAACTGAGGTTCTATGTCTTCTGGAAAGAAAAAGCCATGAAATTTTCCTTCCAATGGAGAGTAGTATACCAAAGAGCTGCTAATTAACTGGTGCAGAGAGGGGCTTGAGGAACAAGGTGTGTTCCTTCCCCCCCCAGGGTTTCTTTGTAGCTTTAGTGCCTGTCCTGGAACTAGCTCTCTGCCTCCCAAGTGTGGTGGAATTAAAAGCATGCACCACTACTGCCTGGCTCCTCCCAAGTTTTAACTACCATCACTTCAAGGAAGGAAGGAACCAGCTGTTTCAAAATCAATCATGTTGTGACAGAGACTCCCTGCATGCAGGATTGTGTGTGTCATAAGCAGACCACAGGCAACACTACACCAGTGGCAGAAGATGATCTGCCAAAAGTTCCAAGAACAATGTGTTAAACGGCCTGTGACAGGAGGCCACGTGGGAAGTGCTTTTCCTACCCGAGGCATGGGGAGAGACATTCCGGATGCAAGGCTCATCCACATCTCAGGACAGATTCTGATGGCCACCACCAAGCCCAGCCCAGTAGAGGTCTGCAGCACAGCACACACTGCTGGCGTCTAGTAACATACCCTGCATCTCACCAATCTATCTGGACTGGTCTGGAAGCCCTACGGATGGATCATGGTGTCTCCACCTCTCCAGCACCAGGACTCAGCACACCTCTGCACCCAGTTTTCATGTGGGTGCTTGGGATATCAGGTTAGTTTCACATGCCCCTGAAGTGTGCATTTTACCCACTGAGCTGCCTCCTGAGCTCCAGCTTTTGCTTGTAGGAAGAGGAGAAGCCAACCATAATCTGTCCATAATGCAACGTTAACTACTGTAAACCACAAACAGTATTTCTAAAATACTTTATTATGTATAAACAAGTTCACTCCAACTCATCCTTCTTTTCCAAGAACAATGTGAGATCTAGCATGTGGCTGCTGAGGTGCAGCATGGTGGTAGCATGCCCCACAGGTGCTGTCCAGGGTCAAGCCCTAGGAATATTTGAGGAAAATATCTAGTATTTCCAAGCAAGTTGGCAAAGCAAACCCAACATCAACTGTCTCTGACATAGTCTTCATGATGCTGTCCCTGTGGGGCAGCAAGAGTTATGGCTTGCCTGTGAGTGTCTTCTGTGAGGGGCACCTGAAAATACAGGAGTCCTGAAACATGGTGGAAAAATAAAACCCAAAAAGACAAAACCAAAAATCACTCTTGGCCAAAAGGGGTGTACACTTAGTATCAGAATATGAAATGCTTCTCTTGAGAAATGTTAGGGACTCCCCCTCCCCAACCAGACTTTGGAATATCTCTATGTACATAATGAACTGGTTGAGGGATGGAACCCAGACTAACCACCATTTATTTATATCTCATGTATGAATGACTCTTAAAGGTAATTTTATGCAGTGTTTGACAATTTTTGTACAAAACAAAGGTTCCTGATACAGAACTTCCCACGTGAGGAATCCTGTTGGTATTCAGAAGTTTCCTGTTTTGCATTTCTGTACTAATAGTCACTAGTAGTCACCAGGAAAGCCACATTAATTGTGTAGCAACATACACTAGAACGAGCTTTGCTTCCTTTTGTCTCTCCTCTCAGTCCCCGTTTTCACAGCAGCCATTATTGCGCTCTGCCCATCCCACCAATCCTTTACATCTTGCACTAAGAATGAATAAAGGGACAGCTGTGCTGGGGACTCAGCTCTTGTCTTTTATCTGAGGGAGGGGTCAAGAGGAGGCCAAAATTCCTTTCAAAAAGGACATGTCACCAAGACCTTTTGGGCTCAGTCCTTTCCCCCATATGAAAACTTGCTTAGATAAACCACCACAACACGGAGACTTTCATACACCTGTCTTTATTTTGCTTTAGTCATGATTTGGTATAAATAAATAAAAGGCCCTGAATGAATGAGTGAGTGAGTGAGTGAGTGAGTGAGTGAGTGAGTGAGTAAGTAAGTAAAAGGTCCTGTCAGGCTGGGCAATGGTGGCTCGCACCTTCAATCCCAGCACTGCTCAGGAGACAGAGGCAGGTGGCCTGGTCTACAGAGTGAGTTCCAGGACAGCCAGAGTAGCACAGAGAAACCCTGCATGGGGGGATGGGGGAGGAGACCCACACAGGATCATTAGTTGCACGCAAGAAATCTCCCACCCCCATGCACCAATGGTAGCACATAACACTACAAGCCCTCCTCTTCGATTTGCCTGCCCAGTGTTCCTTGTGTGTGGTTTCCAGGTACTGAATGCAAACACAGCAGAGTACAAGTTTCACAAGAAGTTCTGCCCTGATCCCAGACTGCACAAAGTGTGAAGGAGGGGCTGGCCATCCAGGACCAGAGAATGTCATGATGGAATCCAAGACTCCCATTAGTGAGAAATGGAATTACATGTTGGGATAATGAGGACAACCAGCAGGGTCAAAATACTCAAGTACTGCTCATGGGGCTTGTTGATGGCATGGCAGGGCTACTTCAAGCAGGTGGGAACTTCTGAAGATGCCTCCAAGTTCAAAGATGTACCTACATGCTAGTCAAGGGTAAGTGCGGGAAGCCTGCTTTAGGCATGAGGACTATGGTAGCCTTGTGTCATGTCCTCCTGATCCTGTCAAACTGCTTAAAAGGTTAACTCAGTTATGAGAGTGTTCTCTGTCTTTTAAAAGCCTTGTAAAACTACTTTTTATTCTTATCTCTATAACAATTTTCCCAATTGGTTTTAACTAACTTTTGTTGCTGCCAAGGAACCTGTCTGTCCACCTATCCATCCAACCTTTCCATGTCCATGCCACCCTATCCGACCTGTCACCCACATAGTTTTGCTCACTCTCCTCCACCCCTGCACCCTTCCTCTGCTCACCCACACACCCCTCTTCTCTCCTCTGCCCATCCCAGTTCCCACAACAGCTGCTGCCTTCAACCTTCTCCTGATCTTGTTAACTAAGTTGCCAAAAGGAGTCAAACTCAAATACTGCAGCTTCAGCACCATTTGAGGGCCAGGGTTAGTTAGGCTCAGCAGGTAGACGGCGTGTGTAGCCCATATAAAGCAGCCTTGAGCTAGAAACCCTGCCCCCTGCCTGCCCCCACCAACAAACCAAACCACTAAGGGAAGTTCTATAAGCAGATGGAGGGTTCTGGCCGAGTTTGATTCCCCCTCAGTAAAGACTCCAGAATGCTTTTGGGATTTATGGTCATGACCTCGGCTAACTGTAAGTATGCTAAAATCCAGGTGAGATGCCAGGAACAGAGCTCTCTCTGGCATCTCCTAGAGTAAGAAAGAAGGAAACCAATCAGAAGAGGCACTCACCCAAGGGTCTGACCATGTGGACACCAACCACTAAGCAGAAGCTCTAACACCACCTAGCCTCTGCCTGCTTCCTCTAGGACTCCACTCAGGTTCCTTCGTCTGTCAACTGCTGCCCCTCAAGCCATCATAACTGAGAAGAAAGTAAGTTGATTCTCTTCTTGTCCCAGTCAGCCGTGCTGGTTCAATCTTGCTGTACCAAGCAGCACTGTGGGAACTGCTTCACTGTGCTGTGTCCTTTCACAAAATGACCCTCCTTTGACAGACCTCAAGATCTCCTTTGGAAATTCCCCTCACCCTTTTAAAAGCACAACTCACCAGAGCTGGGTGGCTGGCCAGAGTCCTCTGAACTTTCTTGTATGTAGTTTTCCTTGAATTCATTTCAAATCCACTATCCATCAAGACACCAGTTTCTTTCTTTTTGGTTTTTTGAGACAGGGTTTCTTTGTGTAGCCCTGACTGTCCTCGAAGTCAGAGCTCTGCCTGCCTCAGTCTCCCAAGTGCTGGGATTAAAGGTGTGCACCACCACCCATCAAGACATCACTTTCTTCACTACTGTGAACCAGAGGGATTTCTCTTCTCCAATACCTATGAACAGTTAAAAGTCAGCTAACTGGAATGCCGGGGAGCTGGTGCAGTGGTTAGGAGCATCTGGTACTGTTCCAGATAGGGCTGCTTATAACTAACTACACACACACACACAAACTTGAAGAAAAAAAAAGTCTGGGCAAGGGGGTGATTTCCTTTAATTGTAACACTTGAGAGACAGAGGCAGGCAGATTTCTGTTAGTTCCAGGACAACAGAGTGTGGTGGTTTGAAAGAAAATGGTCCCCAAAGGGAGTGGCACTATTAGGAGGTATGACTGTTGGAGTAGGTGTGGCCTTGTTGGAAGAAGTATCACTGTGGGGGTGGCCTTTGAGGTCTCCCATGCTCAAGCTATGTGCGGTGACACAGCTCACTTCCTGTTGCCTGTGGATGAAGACGTAAAACTCTCAGCTCCTTCTCCAGCACCATGTCTACCTGCATGCTGTCATGCTTTCTGCCATGATGAAAATGGACTAAACCTCTGAAACGGCAAGCTACCCCAAGGAAATGTTTTCTTTATAAGAGTTGCTAAGGCCATGGTGTCTCTTCATAGCAATAGAACCCTAACTAAGACACAGGCCCATACAGTAAGATCCTGCATCTTACCCACTGCCACCACACCACCCACCCAGCCACCACCAAGAAGTGAGGAGGCTGAAGCAGAAGAATCAGGCTAGCATGGGCTACCTAATAACAAACAAAAATTTAAAAATATTCAGCAGGCAAAGGCCTTACCTGAACAAGCTGGATGACCAATTCAATTTGCAAGTCGCCCTTTTACATGAGCCATGCATGCACACCCACATTCGGACACAAATAAACAAATGTTCAACGGTTTTTTTAAAAAAAAGCTTGAAAGGTAGAGAAGTTGGAGATGGCTTAGCAGTTAAGAACGTTTCCTGTTCTTACAGAGGACCAGTGTTCAGGTCCCAGCATCTTCATTAGGTAGCTCACAACTGCCTATAACTCAGGTTTCAGAGAATCTGATACCCTCTTCTGTGTGGGCACCTGCACATGCATGCCATACACATATACACATACACATCAAAAATAAATTCTGAAAAAAAATTTATTGTAGCACATTAAATTTTTTGAAAAAAGAGAAAAGCTAACAAACACAAAACCAATCTCTCCAAACCCTATTTTCTCTTCTCTGGCTCACATCCCTTCACATGGCAAGGCACACCTGTGCCCAACCAACATCTCTGGAGACAGGGATTAGCAGCGGCTGAGCATGAAGGAGACTCATGACCAAGCAACATCACTATGATTTGTGTAAAGCAGACAGCGACTGTAACTGGTCCTTAAGCAACACATCACAAGCAGAAAGCCTGAGTTCCTCGGGGCCTCTGAGGAGAAGGAGCCACCAGAATTCGTTCTCACACTTTGTACAGCCAGTGGAGTCCATGCAGAGCAAACTGTGCTACAGAAGACCAGAGCTGAAAACTCAGCTCCTCACCCGTGAGTCACACTTTTGTTCTCTGACTCTTAGAGACCCACCAGAAATTAAAATGCTGAATGCAGAGAAGAGAGCTGTAACAACCAACATGAAATGACTGACGTTTCTGCTACAGGTCTGCCTAGCCTCGGCAGCCTGCAACAATGCAAGAGCCCGAAAACACACACAAAGGAGCTGGGCACCGCTGACACCGGAGGGACAAAGGAGTGTTCCTGGACATACTTCTCAGCCTCAGTCAATCAGCAACGCTACATAACAAAAGGCCTATGCTGTTTGCTTAAATTATTTTAACACGCACACACAGCCTGTGCCAATGCAAACACTGGTAGAGCTGAGGCCTTTACTGGCTCTTCTGAGTTTTCAGGAGACAGAGTCATTGTAACAGCATCAGACCCAGAATCTCCTGTCAAACGCTTTCTGGTACAGAACGTGCTGGGCAGACAGGACATGGGTGGGGACTTTGCTGCCCCATCTTGTTTCCTCCTTGGTTATGGGTTCTGCAGCTCCCACAGGTGGGTGAGGAAGTCTCCACACCTGACTGCCTAAGAAGGACAACCAATTCTCCTTACCAGCAGCCTTCACCACAACATGATCTAGAAAGTTGGACTCATTTGGGTTCTGATCATGGCCTACTATTAACTGCTGTGGAAGTGTGGCAGGCACTGGTAACTACTGTATTATCTCCTGTAACTATGGAAGTCCTAGAGTAGTGAGTATTAGGAAAGAGCACTAAGGGGCCAGAGAGTTGCCTCAGCTGTTAAAAGTACTTGTTGCTCTTGAGAATTGGGAAGCAAATCTGATACCTAGCACACACATGTTGGCTCACAACCATCCTTAACACTGGTGTCAGGGGATCCAAGGCTCTTTCTGACCTCTTCAAGCACCAGGTAGACATATGAACTAAACTCAGGCAAAACACTCATACATATAAAATGGTAGGAAAAGAGAAAGATCCCCAGAACAGAAGGGAGGGGGGCAGGCACCATGGCTACAAACCTTTAATCCCAGCTGATGTAGCTGGAGCTGGGTGAGGTGAGGTGGAGGACAGCCTGGAATATACAGCAAGTTCCAGGTCAGACAGGCTGCACAGTAAAATCTTGTCTCCAACAACAAAAGGCCACGTATGGTGGGACACATTTAAAGCCTTCGTGGCCGAGAAGGCTGTGGAAGGACAACTGTTTGAGCTCAGGAATTCAGGTGCTCACAACCCTTCAAATACAAGTGACAATCACCACCAAACCAAACCGAGCCAGACTAAGTGTGACAATTGGGAGGAAGATCATGCTGGTTCAAGGCCCTGGACCACAAAGAAAGCAAGAAGAACTTTAGCAACAATGCTCAGGACACTTCTGAGAACAGGGACCTTCTCTGTGTATGATGGAGGATTTTATCCCCAGAGACATTGGTGCTGTTCTTACACACCAACAGCTGTGAGTTAGCTTGTCAGCTAGAAGATGGCAATCCCTATTACAAGACTAGACATCATTCATGTGGCACAACACCCAGAGGCAGGGCCCTATCCCATATTCCTCCCAAACTTTGTATCTAACATGAGGCTGCCTGACCCTCTATTTGGATGTTTAGAGATCTCCACACACTCAACTCCTTACTCCACCCCAAAGCTCTATCACAGCCCTTTGTCTCCAAGATGTCCACTCCACCCTTCTAAAATGCTCGGTCATCCTTTACTCTTCTGGCATCCCACTTCTAGGTTCTCTGTGCCATCTGGCTGCTGTGGCACACCTGCCTCTACTGTGTCCTGTGTTCTACACAGAGCAGGGTAAGCACATCCTTCAAATCAAAAGCTTCACAGGGGTCCCTAGAGTCCCCAGGATCTGATTCCTGACCTCTGACTTCACTTCTGCTCACCCCTCACTACCCTGCAGCACCTACCTTGATCTCATTCCTTGAATCCATCAGGAACATTCCTACCTCAGACCTTGGACTGGCTGTGTCTGAGCCTAAAATTCTAGGCAGCCTCTGTAGAATGAAGACTGTCCAGGGCTGCAGCCAGCTGCCTTCCTCACTACGATACTACCTCAGAGGAGATGGAAACCACAGAGACTGGATCTTTTGAAGGATCATCAAGGAATGTAGGACAATTTCTTCTGTGACTTCAAGAACTACAGGTGTTTCTGTCACCTGTAGTAGAATAGAAACTTCAGAAGCTGGGGAGATGGCTCTGGGGTTAAGCGTACTGACTGCTCTTCCAGAAGACCTGGATTCAATTCTCAGCACTCACATGGCAACTTACAACTTTCTGTAACTCCAGTTCTAGGGATCTGATGCCTTCACACAGACATACATGCAGGCAAAACACCAGTGCACTTAAAATAAAATTATTTTTTAAAAAAAATAGAAACTTCAATACCAACAAAATCTGAACCCAGGAGACCAGGGAGGTTCTTTAGGAGAATGTTTAGCAAGGCAGTGGCAGTAGCTGCCTGAACCCTCATCTGAAATGCAGCTGGGGAGCTAGGATGGGGCACTCATAAGCTTTGTAGAACAGCTTGGCTACTAAAACTAGACAGGAGTTAGAGGTGCCCTCTAGCATCGATGAAAACATCGATCCAGCTAGTGACAACAACCATCTTTGGTCAAACTGTCAAATGCTGGCTCTAATTGAACTGAGACCTGGACCTCCCAGAGTCACTCCTTATTACCATGTTAAATTTTATTTCTTTTTGAGATCGGGTCTCTCTACAAAGCCCTGAACTTGCTATGTAGACATGTTGGTCTCAAATGCAGAGATCTTCTTGCCTCTGCCCGCAGAGGGCTGGGATTAGAAGGGTGCATCAATGTTCCAGGCTTACTACGTAAAATCTGTGGCCACTTCAAAGCAGTAAGAAGATCCAGAAGCCATTGCAGCTTTAGCCCACAGAGTAAAATGGAGAATGTCACTCAGCAGAAGAGGTCTGGCCTACTCTGCATGCAACCCTGGAAGAGGAAAATTAGGTGTGGGACACGTGCCTGCAGTCCCAGATTCAGGAAGGGAGAAAGCCCAAGTCCAGCTTGGGTTACAGAGAGACCTTGCTTCAAAAATAAAAACAAAACAAACAAACAAACAGTTTATTTTTACCCCAATCCTTCCAGTATTCTGATCTGAGAGAAATTAACTTCTTTATACCTTAATCAACAATAGAGCCACGGGGCAGGGGCAGGCCAGATGCCTCATCAGGTAAGAGTGCTTCCTGCCAGGCCTGAAAATTTCAGTCTGATTCATGGGTCCTAAATGGTTGAAGTCAGAACCAACTCTGAAAGGTGCACCTCTGACCGCCAGACAAGCACCATGGTGCACAAGCCCACATGTACACACACACACACACACACACACACACACACACACACACACACGTGGGAATGTGGGCAGAAAGGGCAGATGGCACTTGGCAGCAGCAGCTGCAGCAAAATGAAGACACAGGCTGAACTCCACAAAGAAAATCATATGTTCTCCTGATTCAGGACTTGGTGGAAGGAATGACAGTGGCTCAGGCTGTGATCCAGTCTGAGGTAGAAGCACACAACAAACATTGGCCTATTTCTTCCCAGGGCCAGTACAAAATACCACAGTCCAAGTACCAAAATCAGTCCCCTGGGCTGAGCCTGCCTGGTGCAAAGGCTTTTGCTGCTGAATGAAGAAGCACCTGCTGTCCACAGCCCATATTTATTCCCACCGGTCCTGAGTCACTACTGTGCCTTATGTTCTGGAAGACCTCAGAAAACACTTGCAAACCCTGGTAATAAGACGGCCTCTTTTCCTTCCCTTTCCCTACTCCCTTCCCTCTTTCCACACTTTCCACTAACAGAGGCCCAAACAGAGGCTCTTTGGCCCTACCTGAATCAATATGCAAGAATGTATTGTCCAGAGTGTATCCCTGTCTCCCGTGGCCACCTGGGACACAGGCTCTGTTACTTTAACAGTGAAATAGCTCTCAACCTCACCAGTACACGGGACAAATCAGCCACACCCAAGCTGACAATGAGGCCAGTCACTTCCCGACAAAAGCAAAGACCCAGCTTTAAGAATCTTTGGAGCGGGTCGGCCTACACTCCCAAGCCTACACTCCCCGCCTGATTCCCTCTGCAACTCTCCCAGGAAGGAGTCAGACTTTGTGGGTTGTGGGATACAGCTGGGACACACGTTCTCACCCAAAGCTTCCCTTGGGATTTGGGCACCAAGAGCTTAAGCTTGTTCACAGCAACCAGGGAAGGACTGCAGGGTGTCCAGTTCCCAAGATTGACAGATGTGCAATTCTGTCGAAATAACAACCTAGTGCTCATGGAGCAGGGGGCCTCCAGAGATCTTGGCACTTCATCCTCCCAACTTTAACAAGTTACTCTGCTACAGAGGCAGCAGGAAAGCATCTACAGAGACTGTGCGTCCAAGAACTTCCAAGAGCATCCTGTTCTTCCCTAGCCTCCATGGCTGGCGGGAATTTCCCTGGGTAATTCCACTCTCTTGTTAACTCAGTGATCCCAACAACAGTCCATCAGGCACACTGAAGATGGGGGGCACCAGGTGAACTAACTGCTGACACTTCCCTACTCTGGAGCCCCAGGACCTTATCCTCCCTTTCTGCTCATCTATTAGAAACACCGCACGGCTTGTTTCACACTACACTACATTAGAATGTCTTGTCACAAGCCAACGTTGCCTCTTTCCTGCCTTGATGGTCACCTCAATTCATGATGACATTCAACACAGTTCATTCAGAACAGGGGAAGGAAGCAAGCACAATAATCTGGCAGCAGAGACCTCTCAGTCATGTGGCACCTACACTGGGGTCGTAGCTCTGTGTCCTGATGGCTGTGTGACACTGGGCAAGGCATGCAGCCCCTCAGAACTTTTTGTTTCTTCACTTACAGGCAAAGTAACTGAGCGTGTCTGGGCTCTCAGGAACAACTCAAAAGTAGCCTCCTCACTTAGCCAAGGACACACTTCACAACTTCGAGCACATCTACGTCAAGAACCAACCAATCCTGTGTTCAAGTCAAATATAAATATAATTATTTTTATGTCTACGCTTTATTAGCTTAATTGTGTGTGCACGTATGTGTGCCTGAGTATAATGTCTGTGTACATGTGTACAAGTGTCCTATGACGACAGAAGAGGATGCTGGATCCTTTGGAACTGGAGGTACAGGTGAGTGTGAGCTGCCCAATATGGGGCCCTCTTTAAGAGCAGTGAGTGCTCTTAACTTCTGAGCCATCTTCTGCAGTCCCCTTACTTATGCTTTTCAGGCCTTTAATCCCAGCTCTCAGGAAGGATAGGCAGGCAGATCTCTTGAGTTTGAGGCCAGCCTGGTCTACAGAGTGAGTTCTAGGATAGTCAGGGCTATATAGAGAAACCCTATCTCAATAAATTAATTAATTAATTAATTAAAAAAATAGGAAAGTAAAATAAAAAATTACATGGTGTATATGTTGAGGTCGAAGAACAATGTGGAAGTTGGTTCTATCCTTCTATTATGTGGTACCTGGAATGGAACCACACTTGTTCCACTTGTTCACTCGTCAGGCTTGGCAGCAAAGACCTTTAACCACTGAGTGTCTCACTGCCATGCACAGGCTTTAAATCTCATCACTGGATAGATGTTCACATGTATCCATTTTAATTTCTCATATATACACATATGTATGTATGTATGTATCTTAATTTATTTTTATATGTATGGTGTTTTGTCCTGCAGGCAGTGCCTACAGAGGCCACAGAGGGAGTGAGAGCTCCAGGGATTGAAGTTAAGGTAGAAGTGAGCTGCTGGTGGGTGCTGAGAATTGAATCTGGTCTTCTGGAGGAGCAGTCACTGTTCTCAAACCCTGAGCCAACTCTTCAGTCCCTTAGTTCCGATATTTTCAAGGCTGTTTGTGATTGTTTCTTCCACTCTGCTTCAAAGGAACACACACTGGGAGCATTGGACCTGAGAACTTCAAGCTCTGCAGGCCGCTGTCTGTGAGTCCCTCTCCTTCATCCCATCTCACTAACTCCTGCTGCAAACACTTGCTTCTCCTCTGTAAGTTACACAGCAGACCGCCCTGCGGGACTGACGCAAACCTGACCCAGTTGTTCTCCCTATGTACAGCACAGTGTGGGCACAGACTCCCACTGTATTTCCTAGGCTCTGACTGTATGCAGGGCAGATGTGTCATTACTCACTGACCACTGCCTGTGTCCTTCCAAAGGAGGTGGAGTCAACAGACCTAGTTGGACACAGAAAACTTAGTCAGATGTTTCATATTGCTTTGAGTAAATTTTTGCTTGTACTAAAAACAACAACAACAACAGAGGCCCTAATTTCTCTTAAGATTCAAATTTCACATTATTCATTCATTCTATCCAAGTCTTCCTGGATACACTCCTTACTGGGAGGCTGTTTTGTGATGAATATATTTATTTAGTGTGTGTATGACATGAGAGGCATGAGAAAAATCAGGAGACAATTGCAGTAAACTACTTGTGGGTCTCAGGTTTATCAGCGCCTTAACTCACTGAGGCATCTCACTAACTGAGAAGTTGTACTAAAAAAAAATTACAAAATTTATGTGTAAGCCAGGCATGCTAATGCTAGCCTTTAATTCCAGCACTAAGGAGACAGAGGCAGGCAGATCTCTGAGTTCAAAACCAGCCTGGTCTACAAAGAGAGTTCTGGGACAGCCAGGGCTACACTGAGAAACCCTGTCTCAAAGTCACTAAATGAGTAAACAAATGTATGTGTGTGCACCATGTGCGTGCCTGGTGCCTATGGAGGTCAGAATAGAGGGTGCTGGATCCTCTGCAAGAGCAACCAGTGTTCTTAATGACTGAGCCATCTCTTTAGCCCTGAAAAGTTACTTTTCAGTGGGGGGAAGGGAGGAGTAAAATTATATAAACCCATCAATTAAATATGTTCAGTGTCCTCATCACTGTCCAACACTTAAAGAGCAGCAGGGCCTAGCAGGATCTTAGGCTGGCAGGAGGCTCAATCCTCTCCCTGTCTTGTGAATAACCATTGGACCCGTTAAGAAGCATCAATTCCTTAAGGAGAAGATGGTCCACAGCTAGAAATGACTTTTGTTTCTTAAACAGGCACATTCTAAGAGCAATCATGTTCAGTACAGGGCAGGTTGGGCAAACGGCATCCTGCCAAGATACCAATGGAGTGCCTGAGCTGCTTTGGCCAGCTTTCATCTTCCCCAAACCTCAGCTGCATTGTTTCCCCTATAACAAGGCACACTGCCTAGGGATGGCTGCTCCACCTGCTGTCACAGGAACAGCCTCTGGAGGGGTCTAATTTAAGAGAGGGGTTGTGATGACCATATTCTGGGTTCAGGATGTGGCTCAGTTGGTAGGGTGCTTGTCTAGTGTGCAGGAGACCTTCTATCCCAGCATAACATGAAAGGAGGCTTGGTGACTGAGTTCAAGTTCAAGTATCAGCTTGTAGATACTGGAAAACATGAAGTTCAAGGCCATCTTCCTCGGATACAAAGGAAGTCTGACGCTAATCAGGGCTATCAGACCCTGTCTCAACAATAAAAATGGAAAAGAAAATTTGTTTTAATATTAACGTGTGGAGCCTTCCTTGAACCAGGCATGTAACCCGAATACTTGGTAGGAACGAACAGGAGGAATCCTGCCTCCAAAAATCAGAAAGTGGAATCTTTCCTTATTGTAGGCAAGTCACTGGCCAATTGACTTTTCATGTATCCTAGATAGCTAAGATGGCTGGCCGCACAAGTCTCTGCAGTGACTATTCTATCAATCAACACACCAATCCTCATGTCCGAGTGAACAAAATTACTCCTGAGACTGACCACACAGCAGGCTGCCCTGACTGCCAACACACATGTGCATTTTAAACCTCGAGGTTGAATGCCACCATGCAGCCCAGGTGGATTTGGGCAGTATTATACATGGAGACCCTAGCAGTCACAGGAGGAGAATGCACATATGGCTGAGCCATAACAACCCTAACTGAGGGCTCAGACCAAACCAGCAGTCGGGAGCTGCCCTTACCTGAACAGTGGGAGATAATGCTGAACTGGCTAAGAAAAAGAGAAACACGATAATTAAACACCTAGAACCATCTCTTGACAACCAGAGTCTCTGAAACTGTAGTCAATTCTCTATTTACCTCCCACATGTGCAAAGTCAAAATATCACTTTGAGGCACTCCAGGTTGCGGGGGAGGAAGTCAGGAGCCAAAGCAAACACTGAAGACATCATCAGCAAGAGGGTGTGTGAGAGAACAGTCAACGCCAACAACATTCTAGAATAAAATAATTGAGTCTGGCTTTTTATTCAGGGGGAAAATCCCGTCTAAACCAAAGACAGCACAGCAAGAGCCCATTGCAGATGGGTGCTGCAATGACGTTCCGCTCAGTACACACCTGTCCTGAAAGCATGGCTAATCATATCAGACAGTTTTTAAAATAATAAGGTAAAGAGCCTCTGTTTTGAATACCCAACCAGAGCAGACAAAAGTAAATCACACACGTGGATGAAGCAGCAGCCACAGGACACGCAGGGAAGGAAGGAAGAAGGCTTTTGTGTCGATGCTATTGACAGCCACATCTGCTCTGGGCAGTGGTGGTCTAGCATTCTAGGTTTGCCACGAAGGAGTGTCACGGATCCCAAGGCCCACCACCTGCCCCTTCTCCGAGGGCACCTACCTTACTGTAAGTCACTACTGATAAGTTGTTTGCGTGACTGCTGGGGGACAGATCTACAGAGTTCTGTGACAGTCTATCCTGATCTTGCTCGGTTTGGTCAGGAACAGGAGCCCATGTATTTTTGCTGATCGAGTCGAACTCGGAACCCCCAGGGTCTTTTAAGTTGTTTTCATCTGATTGTCGGTTCTTTTGGGGAGAGGCAAACGGGTTGAAGTTTCCTTCTACCTTGCGATGTGGCTGTGTGTTGAATTCCGTTTCAAAAGATGACAGCTGCTGCGTTACTCCTAACAGTCCACCCACCTCCACACTGAGAATCACCCAGATGACATCTGAAACAGAAAGCAGCTCATATCAATGCCAGGCATACCCATGGCCCAGGGCAGTCACCACCGAAAACCCAAATACTATCCAAACAACCAAGAAAATGCAGCCACCTCTGTGAAAGCTGCCAAGATGTGTGCACCTGATTCTCGGCCTTCAATAATGTCAAGGGCAAGCACTGGTACAGTTCTGTGGTGGGACCCGCGAAGCTGCAAGGAAGGCTTCCCAGTTGAGGAGCTGTCTGGAGACCATTCCCCCAGAGAGCCAGCAGACCAGAAGCTCCAGTCAGATGCTCTCTGTGGTTTCACTTCACTTCACAGTGCTTAACTCTGGAAATGCCAGGAAGGCAGAATTCTTAAGAGCTAAAAATGCTTACTTTTTTATGACTAGGCTCATAATTTACCTATCCTTACCCCACGTGGGGGGCAATTTAGAAATGACCATGTGCTGTCCAAAAAGAGAAGCTACAGCAAAATGCATTACAAATAATTAAATAAGAGTGTCAATGTAAAGCAGTACTAACCAGACACAGGATATCATGCTTTCTGGCAAGTAGACTGAAGATTCAGAACAGCCTGGTTGTTCAGGGTAACCCAATCCATCACCAGTGCAGTTCTTCTGTAGTATAGGGAGGCGTGACTGCACTAACCCTTTAATTTTTTTTAAAAAGATTTATTCATTTGATTCTGTGTATATATCTCTTTATATCCATCTGTGCACCATGGGTGCAGTGCAGTCAGAGGCCAGAAGAGGGTGCTTAGAGGGTGCTAGATTCCCTGACCCTGGAGTTGTAGACAGCAGTGAGCTGTGGTGCTGGAAATACAACCTGTCTCCTCTTCAAGCAGCCAGTGCTCTTAACCGTATGGCACATTTCCAGCCTAAGCTCTTTTTAGAAAAGATGTGCAGGCTGCACACAGTGGTGGATGCCTTCCTTTCATCGCAGGCCAGGGAAAACCTGGACCTAAATAGAGCAATACCAAAAGATACCAGGTCATAATTTCTGATTTCTTTATTATAAAGGTAAGGAGTCAAATGTAAAGCAAAGGAGCTGCTCCTTCTGATGCTGAGAGCAAACATGAAGAGCCACACTGCTCCTCCAGAGCGGCTGTGAGGCTAGGAGGCAACCCCATGCCACAGTTCAGCTATGCGTAACACAGACCTGAAAGGACAGAGGAGCACTGAGCCCATTCCCACTTTCTCACTGGGGTCCCATGAGAAGAACACCTCACAGTGCCACGGTGCCATACTGCCATAGCCACTTAGTTTCGTGGTTTGGGAGCTGTACTGAAAAGTGGCCAGAGCTGCCTGCAGTGACACCTACTGTTCAAGCCTGGAACTGGCAATTCTTTCCCTGAGAAAAGGAAGCGTTATCCACCAAACATACACACTAGCAAAACCTGAATTTACAGTACCCCGGGCAAACATTCCAGACACATGAAGAAACCATATGCTGCTGGGTGGTGGTGGCAGCACTAGGGATCAAGGTCAGCCTGATGAGTTCTAGGACAGTCAGGACTGTTACACAGAGTAAAAAAGAAACCATATGTCTCATGCTTTAATCCCAGCACTTGGGAGGCAGATGCAGGTGAGTTTCTGGGAGTTTGAAGCCAGCCTGGCCTACACAATGAATTCCATGACAGCCAGGGCTATGTAGAGAGACCCTGCCTTAAAATAAGTAAGTAAGTAGTAAGTAAGTGAATAAAGCAAGCAAAAACACACAACAAACTATATGTCGTCATGTCAACTACTACCATAAAAGTGTTCCTGGGATGGGGTTCTCACTACGTACACCCAACTGGGCTCAAATCCATGGAAATTCTCCTACCTCAGACTCTCCAGGAGGCTGATCCACGATGTTAAGATATCTTGGATGAGAAGAGACATGGAGCTCTATTATACGATCAGAAGACTTGAGTTCTAGACTGAGTTAATCTTGTAAAACAGTGAGAGATGAGCCTTAAGCAAGCACTAGTTGGCAGCGGGCCCTGAGGGAGTCACTCCACACCTTCCCATGCTAGCTATCTAACTGCAGTGAATGTGTCCTGTCTGTGTGGGTCTAATGGGTATATACGCCTGTGGGAGCACGTGGAGACCAGAGTGACGCCAGGTGTCTTCCTTTTATCACCATTTCTTGAGTCAGGGTGGCATTTAAGATGCATGTTTTCTGCAGTGAACCATGAGCATTTCTAACAGCGATCCGAAAGGATGAGGGCTCTGCAACAACAACTCCATCTGGACTGTGGCTGCACCACTAAGCTGACAAACACCATCCAAAGATCAGTTTCGAACTACAAACTGCTCAAGGCAACTTTAAAGCGGCTAGCTGAGGGGGGGTTCAGCATCACAAGATGCTGTTGGCCCCAGACAGCAGGAAGTAACTTAACATCATGATGCCCACATTCCCAAAAGGTGGAATGGGAGGTTTTTGGTCATTCAGTGGGTTATGGATGTTTGTCACTGTTTGGGAAGTTAGTTGCAAGTTGTTATTGGTCATGGTCAGGAAGGGACAATGATCTTGTACCCTGAAACGATTTATCAGTTGTATTGCTTTAATAAAACGCTGATTTGCCAGTAGTCAGGCAGGAAGTATAAGTCGGGCGACCAGGCAGGAAGTAGAGGCCGGGTGACCAGAACAGGAGAATATTATGGAAAAAGGAAAGGATGAGTCTGCAGTTGAAACCCAGATGCAGAGGAAGTGAGATGAGAATGCCTTGCTGATAAAAGGTACCAAGTTATGTGGCTGATACAAACAAGAATTATGTGTTAATATAGGATGTAAGAGTTAATAAGAAGCCTGAGCAAATAGGCTAACAAGTTTATGATTAATGTAGCCCTCTGTGTATTTCTCTGGGACTGAATGGGTGCAGGACTGGGCGGGACAGAAAGCCCTGTCAACAAATGGTGCCAACATGGACAACTACATCCACATAAAACCTGAGAGAGTTTGGGGAGGATTTCTAGACATAAAAAAAAAATAGAATTAAAGCATGGCTTCTTGGTAGCAACATTTTCTCGGGTGAGCTCTGTTTGCTAGAGGCAAGCACATCTCATTTAAGAGAGGCTTCCAGACTCAGTTTTAGTTGCAAAAAACCTTGCAGCCCTTTTAAAAGGCCCTGCCACAAAACACTTAAATGGTGTTTATGAATAGTCGACAGCATGCTTCTTGGTGGTGGCAGGAACCTTGAAATGCCATAGAGTTGTGGAAATAAACTTGGTTCCAGCCAGTACATCCGCCATGAGGCTAGACTCTCAGAAAGCTAAGGAATGGGGTGGGTCCAGCCATAAAAGACACAGTTTTAATCCTAGCAACATCACTCAGCAAATTTCTGACCACTCATGTGGTCAGAAAAATAGAGATGTACAATAAAGATGGATTCAGATGAAGAAAACCTCTAAATGATTTACAGGGTCTTTAAAAATATGTGTAGGCTTGGGAGATAAAAGAAACGAGAAAAAGTCCTTAAAAAAGAAAGAAGAATATTTGGGTGTGGTGTCACACACCTTCAATCCCAACACTTGGGATGCAGAAGCAGGCAGATCTCTGTGAGTTCAAGGTGTGGTACCAGGTACCTTTAACTCAGGAGGCAGAGGCAGATCTATGTGAGCTCAATGACAACCTGGTCTACAGAGTGAGTTCCAGGACAGCCAAAGATAACACAGAGAAACCTTGTCTCAAAAAGCCAAAAATTGAAAATAAAAAAAAAGAAGAAATAGAGTTTAAAATAAAGTCATGTAAAGATGTAAAATACACAGAGTCTGGATACTGTGTATTCTTGTGTTGCCTCTAATTGTATGACTGCTGAGGAAGGAGCAACAGCTGCTAAAAGACATTTGATTATAAATGCTGCTGGATTAATCCAACATATATATTTTGAAAATGCCTTGACTTAAAAATTAAAGTCAAAGATATGTTACTCTGGAGAAGAGGTTTTGCTTTTGTTTCTACAGGAAATGAGAGACTGTGGATTCATTCTGGGTGAAGAAAAATCAGGTTAGCTGGGCAGTGGTGGCACACGCTTTAAATCCCAGCACTCAGGATGCAAAGGCAGGCGAATCTCTGAGAGTTCCAGCCTGGGCTACAAGATCTAGTTCCAGGACAGGATCCAAAGCTACAGAGAAATCCTGTCTCAAAAAACAAACAAACAAATAAAATCTTTGATAGGAGTGGATGGCCCAGATGTCTGAGTTCTAAATCCAGGACAACCTCAAGACTGCTGACTGAGATGATCAAGCCTCACAGAATATTCCAGTTAGGATTTGACCATAATTCAAAATTTTCTTTAGGTTCTTGTAAGATTATCAGCGTCCCAATCAGCAGGAAGTAGCCTTGAAAACTACACCTGTATTCCCAAAAAATGGAATATAGATGTTTTTCTTTGTTTAGAGTGTAGGTTACAAGTTTTTATGGATAATGGTCAGGAAGAAAGCTAAACAAAGGAGATTAGATTCCGAATTCTTATTATGAAAAGGGGGGGGGTGCTGTGGGACAATAATCTTGTACCCTATAAGATTTATCAGTTGTACTGCTATAATAAAACGCTGATTTGCCAGTAGCCAGGCAGGAAGTAAAGGTGGGGCGACCAGGCAGGAAGTAGAGGCAGGGTGAATAGAAAGGAAAAATTATGGGATGAGGAAACGGTTAGTTTGCAGTCATAACCCAGATGCAGAGGAAGCAAGATGAGAATGCCTTGCTGATAAAAGGTACCAGGCCACGTGGCTGATATAGACAAGAATTATGTGCTAATGTAAGATGTAAGAGTTAATAAGAAGCCGGAACTAAAAGGCCAACCGGTTTATGATTAATATAGACCTTTGTGTGTTTCTTTGGCATGGAACAGCTGTGGGACTGGGCAGGACAGAAATTTCAGTCAGCAGGGGGAGGTTATAGGAATAACAGAATAAAAGGGTAGATTACTGAATCTACTTTTAAACTAAAAAACAACCATTAGTCTCAAATATTTTACATTGGTATAGACTTTTGTACACTGATACAAATTTATGGTTATTT